AGTCTTTTTCGATAAATCGCGATAATGTCACTGTTAATTTAATTTCTGCCACAATTTCCATCTAGATTTACTACCTTTATACAACTATCAGTAGTAGAATAAATAATAAATAACATAAAATAAGCTCCGTAAAGACTGACAAATCCACAAAATTTCAAATCAAATTCAAATGTGTCAAATGAATCGTCAAACAGAACTGTCAAGGATCCCACCCTAGAGAGCTTTTTCCGTCCACCATGCATGAATACATGGATAGTATTTGTGGTATTATGGTGTAATGTAAATTGTAAAGAACCATTTAATAATATATTCTGACTTTTTATAAGTTATAAATCATAACAGAATAAGAATACCATGCAATCTAAGTAAAATTAGTCAAGAAAAATAAGAATTGGCTATAACTAAATTTAACTTTTCTAACATGTCTTGAAAACCGTTCTCTAAAACACGTAACATTCACCGGTCAACGTATATATCCTCGAAAATGTATGGTCACGAAAAGTTGGACCAATAATCCTACACGCTTTTCTTCGTTTGAAAAATTCATATTTACAATTTTTGTTTGGTTTGGTTTAGTTTATATTTTATTTATTTTAATTTACAAAGTTTGGAATTATTTCCGAACCTTCAAAAATTCAACCCTCACCTTCTGTGACAACACCTAATGAATCGACATCTAAAACCGAATCAAGTTCACTAGTTTCCCCACAAGCCATAAAACCATATCCCAAAGCAGACGCTAATATATGAAAGGTTAGAAAGTCTAAGAAATCTGAAATTCTAACTGATTCATCTTACAAACAGGAGTTAGAAAAACTGACGCTAGAAAAACAAATGGGTAAAAAAGCTAAAGCAATAAAGCGAAACCTATGCAGTGACAAAGGGAAATCACAAAAAATAAAAAAAAAAAATGAAATGCAAAAGAAAATTCGCTGTCCAAGATGTAAGGAATTGTACGCAGATCCGCCTGAAACAGATTGGATACAATGCAAATCGTGTCAAGCATGGTATCACGAGGACTGTACCGTGTATGCAGGACTTTTGTGACAGGTTTATTTGTGATATCTGTGACAATGATTCTGACTAGATTGACCTTTTTTTTTCAAATGCGTACTCTTATTAACACATACTACGTACTCTTATACGTTTTCGTGCGTACTCCTGGACTGTGTAGGGTATAAGAGTACGCATTTGCATCATCAACTAAAAAATAATGTATTTTGAAAAATGTTCCTTTTTGGGTGTTTGAAACTTTTCTGGTTAAAGTTAATATAATACCAACCAAACTGTCTTATAGTATAGGGTTGACTCATTTGTCTATTTGTTTAATATGTGAGGCCAAACTCAATAAGTGCTAATAAGTTGGAGGGTGTTAATGCATTGGTTAGCCTGGTTAGTTGGAGAGTGTTACAGCATTGGTTAGCCTGGTTATTTGGGGGGTGTTAATGCATTGGTTAGGTGGTTATTTGGTGGGGTTGGTTGGTTTTTACTACCACTTGCTTTTGGTAAATCCTAGGTTTTACCGCATTTCGGACATTTACAGTAACATATACATTAAATTAAGAACCTGTTAATTTTATGACTCTTCTTGCTTTTTTATTATTTTATTCAGTTTCAATTTGTTTTTTTTTTGGAACACTATATAAAAGTGACAACGATATAATAAATTACCTGTTATAATCTGGAGCTCCAGTTGACTTGCTATGATGTTGCGGTGTTGTGGAAGCTGACTGATTATAAGGAGTATTGGGAGCCTCATTTGGAGTTCTATTACCACTACCCGACGCAAGAGATGTTTGAGAAGTAACATTATGTAAACTGGATGAAGCGTCAGTCAAATTTCCTAAATAAATTAAAATATTTTGTATAAATTTGAATATAAACATAACGGACTTACCAAAATCGGCAAAGAAATCGCTATTCTGTCGTAAATTATCTTGTGAAACTGATGTTCCAGTTGTTTGTTTATTATTATTTGATGATTGCGGACTAGCATTTGAGAATCCATTCCAATTACCTAACAGGTTTGTGCTATCTTGGGCAGCTCCTAAAGACCCAAAAGGATCAAACGTATCACTTTTGGTACTAGATTTAGTAGGCTTGTTATTGTTATTCGATTGATTCGTGTTGAATGTTGAAAAATCATTTAATCGGCTATCATCTAAAACACATCCTTTAAGAAAGAAATATCACAAAAAAACATTATAACATACCTAAACCGCTAAGGAGATCAAAATTCGAACTTGCTGAGTGTTTAATAACATTTTCTGTTGTAGAAGGTTTAGTATTTAAGTTAAGCAAGTCTACTTCTTCCTCAATTATTTTGATGTTTGATTCCGTCTCAATAACATCTATGTCATATTTTAGATTCTCTTTTTGCGGGACGTCTTTAACTTCTGGATGACTAGGCGAAGAAGCAAAACCAGGTTCTGCTATGGGTCTCTCAGGTCTAGGAGGACGTTGGACAGGTTTTCTGCTTGGTTTGCTTTTAAAATTATCTATCGTTTCATCTTTCTCTATTTGTGAAGTAAATAAAGTATCCATACTACGATCGGTTTGATCGATTTCGCCATAGCGCTGGCTGAGAGGGTCTTTTTTCAGTAGTCACAAAAATATTTAAGGTTATTGTAAAAAGCTTTGAAAATGATCTTGGCCATCGGACAACTCGTCCCAGGTCTGATTTGAAAACCTGATTTGACGTTTCTTCCCTCTGGTATGTAGCCCGTATGAAATTGAATTTGGCAAATTTTGATTCCGGTTGCTTTACCTTGAGTCATAACTCCGCCAAAACATTTCTAGCATGGTAAATAATAATACATACATCTCCGCAAACAGTGGTACTAATAGGAGCAAACATTTTCCATCTGATATATTAAAGTCTCATTCTCAATGATCTTGAAGTGTAGACAACATACAACGATTTTCACTATAAATCTCTATGTACGGTCTACAACCATCTCTTACTTTAGTAAATAAAGAACAGGTTGCATTTGAGAAACTAATGTTACTGGATTATAATGAGGATACAAGGCGGGTTCTAACTATATCTGCTAGATAATAAAGATATCTACAAAATTATATTAACCACAAACCAAATAATGAATTGAATAAGTATTTAATTTACCTCAGTTCTGAAGGCCTCATATCTGGGGACATCTTTTTGACAGCAAACATTTGTAAAGCGTCCTCTGGCACTCGATAATCCAGCATAAATCATTAAAGCGCATACCAGAGTCGCCGAAACAGCCTTACCATCTGTACACTGTATTACTACCACGTTTCTACTGTCACCTGAGAATAAATGCACTTATATTTATTAGATTACATAACAATTTACAATTAATATGTTTTATATAATTTTGTACAAGAGACAAAAAATGTAGTAAATACTAGAAGAACCATTTTACGAAAAAAAAATCATTCGTCGGAGGAGTTCTTAAGAGGTTCTCGGAGAATAATATTATTTCTACTAAAATTTATGTAGAGGTTTTTTTGATTTTTGTAAAAATGATATGTTAAAGGGCTTAGCAAAATATTAGATTATTTTTTTTGAGTTCTATGTCTACGGAATATTCAGACACCCTGTATACCACACAATAAAAAAAACAACGTCAAAGATGGCTTGGAAATGAAGATTATATAGCTGAAAATCGGTCCACTATATAAAATTAAAAAAGAAACATTATTAACGCTAATTAAACCAATAGGAATTGGTTACAGTTCGTACATATTTCTGGGTTAATTTTATTTGGATATTAAAATGTCTGAAAATTGGATAATCGTTATAACTCTTTTTTAATAACTTTTTAAGATTTTTGTACCCCCATATTATTCTTAACAGAAATACACAAAATTCGCATACATGAAAAATACGATTGCTCAATCAAGATTTTTCAATAAAACTGTAAAAAATGGAAACCAGTAAAATGTAAAAAATGTAGCAGCATAATCTTCTCACCAACAGCTATTTCATTGAAGTATTTGAAGAATATGTATGAAAAAGTGTAGTTTGAAATGTTGAAAAAGTAATAAATTAATAAAAATTGACCCACCACTTGTGACGATCAATACACTGAAGGAAGTTAAAGGAACTGCCATCAAGGCTAAGCAGCAAGAGACGTGGTAACACCGTGAGGACTGCGCCACAGCTCGACGACGATGGCCACTGGTAGATAACAAAAGACAAAACAACTACTAGAACACAAAAAGAACCTAGTAGGCATAAGTGTCGTCAGTGATGAAACTGTCCCACAGGTGTAAACCTCGCGGGTTGGAAATTTTCCAACGACGACTACTGCAGAAAATGCGGAGAGGAAGAAGAAACCATAGAGCACCTGCTGTGCCTCTGTCCGGCACTGGAATACCGACGCGACGCTTTAAAACTTTAGGGTAAGGTTTTTTGGAGAGACTAGAGGAAGCAGCAGAAGCCAACATCAGCGACATTGGGAACTTTGCAAAGAGGTGGAAGTGCTTTAATGCAAAGAAAGAATGAGAGGAAGGTTTGGTACAACAATACAGGGGTATTGCAATGGGCCCAAATCCTCCGAGTGAGGGATCAAACATGATCCCAAACCCATGCTAATAAATTAAATAAAAAAAAATACGCCTAAAAAATAGTTCTTTACCTATAAGAAATAGTTTTTTTATGTGTAACAAATAGTTCCCTAACTGTTTTTTAATGGGAAAAAACCTACCTGCTATATATTGATAAATATCTTCGCAAAGCTGATATACGGAATTAAGTAGTGGCGCCTTAAAATGTTCGGGATAAGCAAATGAACAATCTACAATTCTAGCCTGCCCAAACCTTGACTGAGATTGCTTGTTGGCTAGGTTATACACAGAGTATCTAAAAAATGCAATGCAATTAATTTCAAACTTACATTTTCATTTTTCTATCACCTATAGTTAGGATGCCTCGAGTCTAAG